ACTAAATATGATAGGATGCATAGATATAAATAAATTTTAAATATGTGACTATATAGTTACTATAATATTCAAAAATTAATTTCATTTTACTTAAATTTGTGACAGAAAAATAAAATGGAAGAGAAATAATTGTTTAATTTCAAAAATGCTTCTATGTCACAAAAATATTCTAATTACCACAGGAAAGAGAACTGGTCTGTTATAAATTAAGAAAGGAAATTATAAATGCATTAAAGATTAGAATCACTAGTTTTTATCACCTAGGTATTTCAGTTTTATAGTATGATTCAGTACATGCTAAAAAAGATGATAGTCATTGGTACCCAGATCTCTTCCCAGCTCCAATCTTCCCAACTTTAGAATTATTTTTAGTTAATATTATGCTTTTTACATTGTCTGGGTACTTAACATTTACATTTGATGCTAACTGTAATTCCTATAATGTTTTTCAATATTGGTTGTGTATATAAATGCATGGTCCTTTTACATGATCCTTTTACCATCTTCTTTACTGAACTTATTTTTTCCCCTCTATGGGCAACTAATCTCTTTATGATTATATTTTATCATGTAGTTTAGGGGAGGGGCTCCCTAAGAAGATCCATGGATGCTGAAGTCCCAGCATTTCTTTTATGTTTGATAATTTTAAATTCTATATTGGCTGTGTACAATATTCTTGGACCACTTTTTTCCTCAAAACTTAATAGATATTGCTCCATTATCTTTAAGCACTGAAAGTTGATTTAAACAAGTCTAAAGCTGTCCTAAAATTTACCACTTATTAAGAGATTGGGGTATTAACAAATCTCTATCAAAATTCCCATAGTCCATGGTATTATACTTACAATTTCAATCTGCAGATTTAGTTCTTACTATATTTTTCAGGAAACTTTTCTTGTATTAACATTATATCTTTATTCATCTTCAGTTACATTTATTGGATTCCCTATTTCAAGGATAGCATTTATCAAACCTCGAGTAATTTTGTTACTATTAGCTTCTTAAATCCCCTTAATCTCTGTCTTTTTCATCTTAATTCACTGGAATGTTATATTAGCAAAATCTATTTATTTTCAAATTCTCTGAGTCATGATATGCCTTTTCCATAGTCAGTTCCAGCTACTGATACCGCAGTTTGTTCATTAACTGTCATGGCGTACAGTGAGATATGTGGCGTGAGGAAGATCAAGCCCTACTGCCTATAGATCTCTAGCTGTTTATTTCTCAAATATTTAAGTTTTGGCGTCGCTATAAAATTTAATATCTAGACTGATGCAATTATTTTTGTGCTATTGGCAGGCTAGGCACTATGACTTGAATATTTTTATTGTATCTCTGGTCAAAACTCTTTGTCAGAATCTTAAAATATATACTAGAAACAGGCCATGTGGAGTCAATATGTCAGGTTACTCAACACAGTTACCTCAGGGTTGCTGAGAGCCCTTGCTGTATGGGCGTGTTAATAGTCATTGCTGGAGAATGTAGTGCGAAGTCTGTCACGCTGGCCCCAATTGGCTGTGAGTGCAGGATAACATTCAGAATGCAGGAGAAAAAAATCATGAATTAATCTTTCACTTTGTTAAGAGACAAATAAAATTAAAGGAATGGGCCTGGGCAGCTGTTAAATGGATTTATTTAATGCATTCGATATGTTCACCACTTTTCTGTACCCTGAAGGAATTATGGGATGGGAGAGGCAGGCCCAAAGAGGATTGCTGACTAAGACAGCTTATGTGCAGTTATGGTTTGAATAGCTGGGTTTTTCCCTCTTCCGAGATCTTTTTCCAAGACCTACAAAACTTAACTGCTCCTAGTTGAGGGCTGGCTCTTAGCCCTCAGAGGGCACACGCGGGTTTCCTGTGCGTCCTTCAAGTCACCTTTGCCATTTGGCAGATGTGAAGCTCTGAGGCTTTTCCTTCTGAGACGCACAGCCTGATCAACTACCGATTTTTCTGCTCCTCACCTGTCACCACTCCTTGGTTGAATTTGTCCAATGGCAATGGCGAGTCTCTCTTACTTCCTAGAGAACTGATAGAAATTATTCTATTTTTTTTTTTGTTGACTTTATTGGAGTGGTTGATAGAAATTATTGAGATAATCAGCCAACATCTCCTGAACTTGTTTTGCTCCTTGATGATGTTAAAAACAGTTACCAACTTGTTGTGACTCACTAAATATTTGTTAATAAGTTTAAATTCCTGAATCAAAAGAAGTACAATATTGGTATAGTGGGAATGGTCAGTCTAGACACATCTAACTAAAACTTTCTAAAGCATTTTTCATCACTGAAGTAGAGATCCAACTAAATAATCAAAACAGCAATGCACAGAAAGAATTCCTTCTCTGTAAGCCTTCTCTAGATAAATAGGAAAAACAGATTATATATAGAAATAGATATAGATATATAGATACAGATATCCTGCTTCTAAAACAGTTAACCTATTATTTTGTAGGATATTGCTGCCTTTGTGAGCAACAGCCAAACATTTTATCCTTGCATCTCAGTGCCTGGCAGTGTGCATAGTGGGTTGTCAGCATATTCAAGTGAATAATTGACATTCTACATTATCTCTTAAAATTTTTTTACAGACTAGTATACAAGGAAGAACCTGAGATTTAATATGTAGTGTTTGGAATAGGGACTTGTTTTTACTCTGAGGTCAGAAACCTCCACAGCTGAGCACTTCGGATAATGAAGGTTCCTTTTCTGCATCTGTCCAGCTGAGGCTGGGCAGAGACAAATATCATACAATCTACATTTAAACACTCTTTTCTTTCCATATTAATGGTGTTTATGTTTCCTGGGGCACGTCTAAAGGATTCAAAGTATTTGCCGTATGTGTAAATAGGCTTTTAAGAAAAAATCGAGGTTTTCACATGCAAGCTATTTCAGCAGCCAGTTCCTTTCCTGAAGCACAAAAGGCTAGATATGGAAACAAACAAGAGAGAATGTGCTGTTTTAACAAGTGGGTCCTTAGAAATGGATTTAAAAGTATGGTTTTTGTTTCCTGATCTACCTCTTACCCTATCACTTCGTACCACTAGAGATCCTGAAATAAATCAGTTACATTCCCACAATTTTTAAGGCTGACAGTTTAATCTTTTTCCTGTTTTGTCTGTTGCTGTGGCCAATGTAATTAGGTCATACTCATGTGAAAAATTACTTGTACAAGAAAAAATTTTGGATGTGTATGTGTGTTTCCAGGAAGATTTGTTTCTGCTAATGTTCACAACATCATTTGCACATGAAAATAATTCACTTCTCCATAATTTATATTAACATTATTTCTAGAAAAACCCTAATTCAAAAGAAAGTTTATCACTAATTTTATGTCATTTTTAGAGTAATTACATTTAAAAATATTTTAGCAGCTAAACCATTGATTTCAAAACCTATTTGTTAATTAAGTAGATAGGAGGCCAACCCTGAAAAGGGGTCATTCCAGCAGAAAGGAGAAAAGGACCTAATTTTTAACAGTATTCCAGAAATGGCAACAGACATCAACTGCTAGCAGCCTATCTTGCAGATGTCCTCTAATTTCATTTTATAGTCAAAGTTAGCTGTAATTTTTGTCTTGTGTATTTTCTAATAGTCTTTTTTCTACTTATACCAGCAGATATAAGGTTCAAATCACAAATATATTATTTACTTTATTGCTGCTACACTCCTAGAAATGTTAGGAACCATGGGAGAGTGACAATTCCACATAGCGAGGATGGATACTTGTGTTTTATGAAAAACTAACATTAAGTCTTTTCCTCTTTAATAAGTTGAGCGCCTTGCTTTTATTTTTGTGGATTAACTTAAGAATTTCAGTAACTCAGGCAATTCTTATTTACTTCCAAAACTAAAACACCAAGATTAACATGCACAAGAGGCACAGTTCAACATGTTTTATCGGCTGAATGTAAAGGTCAAAATTAACAAGCCATATAGAAGCACCATTAGGAGTATACAGTAGATCCCTTGTAGAAATCATGAAGGAAAGCAGTGTAGGCACTGTTGGGAACACAAATACAAAATCTGAGTTGCTATCTATGATGGCAGCAGAGCAATTGTTAAAAATTTGACTTCACTGCAAAACAATTTAAAGGGGCAGCAGATCTTTTAAGAATGCACAAGTTAGCTTTATTGTTCTTATGTAACATTTACTGAGAAGCAAGGCATGCTAAAAATGAAGTAATACACAAAATTCCTGAGTCTCTACCCAGTGATTATATTTCCAAATGAGATAAGTGAGATATATAAACAAAATGAGAAGGCTTAATTAGTGCTGCCTTTCAGAAGCCTACAAAGTGGCTGGAACTAACTTCAACCATTTTGCTAAAGAAGAAAAAAATGAGAATAAGTGAGATATAGGAAAAGACAGTAAATTTCTGAAAGGCAAGAGGTTTTGTTTACTTTCTAAAACAATATATACAGTTAATGAGATGTACTTTTGTAAGTCTGTTTTTGTGTGTTAATAGGGCTACATTTCAGAGTTACTTATATTTTTGTTTTTGGTTGTTTTTTTGGTTTGTTTTTTGTTTTTGTTTTTTGTAATCCTCACCCAAGGACTTATTTACTGATTTGAGAGGCAAGGGGGAAACATTAATCAGCTGCCTCCTGTACATACCCCTACCAGGGTTCAAACCCGCAACTTAGGTGTGTGCCCTGATGGGGAGTTGAAGGAATTGAACTCACAACCTTTTGATGTACAGGATAATGCTCCAACCAACTGAGCCACCCAGCCAAGGGCCATAATTACTTATGACTTAACCAAGAAAAAACAGTTTGTTAATAAGAGAGCACTTTTCCCAAATGACGTGGAACAACATTTTCATGACATTTAGAAATTTGCAGTGGCCTCTTGCTAGACTTCTATCATTGTTCTGTAATCCCAGCTTTGGGGAGAGTTTAGAAAACATTTGGAGAAAATCACTATGCTAACAAACATGTTTATTCTTCAGCTATTGTAGCAGAACTTCTTTTAACACGCCAGTTTTCTTTTCCTTTGCAGGGACTTTACGTTTTCGTGGTCTATTTCATTCTACACAACCAAACTTGTTGCCCCATGAAGGCCAGCTACACAGTGGAAATGAATGGGCACCCAGGACCCAGCACAGCCTTCTTCACACCCGGGAGTGGAATGCCTCCTTCTGGAGGGGAAATCAGCAAGTCCACCCAGAATCTCATCAGTGCTATGGAGGAGGTGCCTGCCCTTACCCTTGCTCTCTGTCTCTGTCTCTGTCTCTGTCTCTGTCTCTGTCTCTTTCTCTCCCATATATGGCTTTTCCATCTCAAAAAGAGTGCAAGTCAAATGGTTCTATGTGACTTTTAAATCCTTTTCCTGCTGGCGTTTTCTGACCTACGGTATTTCATATGCTGACTATGGTATCATGCCTGTTATCGAATTCATTTTCTTCCCTGCCCCCTGACCTGTACTAACCAGCAGTTTGTACTAAGAGCTCAGACAAAGCATACTTTGTCATCTCTTTCTAGAAAATCTTCCAAATTTGACATGGCAGTAGCCAACTCAGCTTCAGAAATGGTTTTTTAAATACTGTTGTTCTTAAAAATACTTAAGCAGTTCTCTTTCTTCACCCATCCCAACTCATTGCCTCAATCCCAACAAATACTTGTAAAAATAGGCTGGAATTCTTTTCAATTTCAATACCAGAAAAGATTTTAGAACAAAGGCTTGGAAGAGTGCTTTAGCAGCACTGCTTTAGAAAATCTATCCAGAATGTCCTCTGTAAAATCTACCTCCCATTACTCTCTGCACCCTGTTCATATCATATTGGGTTGCTGTGTCTAAATCATATTGCCACCAACCTGTTAGTAATGCTGTCATAGCACTGGGACCATTGTTCAGATTTTAAATCATACCTTAAGATATTTGTCAGGAAAGAGGTGATATGCATGTCCCTGAAAATGTCTGCAGTGCCCAGGATGTGCTAGTCTACTATTTGTTGTTTAGCTCATGCTGCCCTCTCTTTATTAAAGAGCCATGGGGAAGAGTACTTGTATTTATTTACATCCTGAAAAATGGCAGAAAATCAAAGTACATGTGTCTAAAAAGGAAACAGTTTATAGATAGGTAGGTAAGAAGGAAGGAAGGAAGGAAGGAAGGAAGGAAGGAAGGAAGGAAGGAAGGAAGGAGGGAAGTCAGTCAGTCAGGCAGGCAGGCTACCTGTTCAGTAATATTTTTTTCTCTTTCATGTGAATATAGAAAGTAATTTTATCCATGTCAGGTTAAAATTAAGGTAAATGATCAAAAATCAAGTACAATATTTAAAATTGGAATATGTCTTTAGTACCATAAATATTTAGAAATCTAGTACCATGTCTATATCCCAGAAGTTCTCAAAACTGAATTATTTTCACATGAAAGTTGGAAACAAATAATTTTAGGATCAGCAATTCAGAATGAGTCTTTATTAAATTCTTTGTCCTTTTAATTGGTTACCCTTTCTAGTATTTGCCTTGATCTGAACTATACAGCACAATAATCATTAGCCATGTGTGGCTATGTAAATTTAAACTAACTAAAATCAAATAACATTAAAAATTTAGTTTATTAGTCACCATGTTCAAGTGCTCAATAGCCACATGTATCTGGCAGCTACCATAAAGGAGAATGCAGATATAGTGCCTATGTATCATCACAGAAAGTTCTGTTGAACACTGCGGTTCTAGATGTTTAACTTCTTAGTGAAATTTTTAAAGATTTTTCCTTCTCTCAAACTTATTTCTACAGTCTTTGGGTCACTTTTCTCCATCTGTGGCATCCCTGCAGTCGCTCAGAAAAGCTTATATGGGGAGGCAGCAGCTGCAACAGTTCAGTTCCTGGGCCTGAGCCGCTACTTGAATGTTCATTTGGGGTGTTGCGCAGCGGCATACCTCAACGTGTGTTCTGCATTCCTCAGAGGCTTACAATTGGCCTTGATTCAGCTGTCAATGAGGGACTGTTAGAGACATTCTAGAAAGCCTTGCAGAGAAGGGAAAGTATTAGGAAAGGAAGGATTAAGGGGTTTTCCTCAGTAACCAAGGGGGAAGTAACTATGTTTAATTATTTCAGAATAGAACTATCTTTTTAATCATTTAATTTTTAAAAAGAAGGAGTTTCTAATGCTACCAGAGAATTTTTTTCAATTCATTATGTCCTGATAGATAGCTACCATATTTTAAATTGTGTTTTGTATCTTAAAGATTAAGAGGGTTCCTGTCCAGTTCTCATATTTTTAACAGTTTTCTTTGCACAATACATTTCTTTAAAAGTAAAAGGTATTGATTGGATTAAAAATAATTTTTATCCTCACACATGACTGAATAGAAACCTGCAAGTAATCCTGATAGAGAAATCATTTAGAATCACCAGATTAGATTGTCTCATGGAGAAACATCTTTAAAAAACAAACTTATAATTAAAGGTCTTAATTCTAAACAGTTCAACAGCCTTTGCACTTGGTCTGTGTATAATTTATACACATTCAGAATAAATATGTCTGTATTCATATTATGGTTTCCTTTTCTCCCCATCCAACCCAAAAAGGTGCCACCTGACTGGGAGAGAGGATCCTTCCAACAAGCCAGTCAGACCAGTCCTGACTTAAAGCCAAGTTCACAAAATGGCGCCACATTCCCTTCCTCTGGAGGATATGGCCAGGGGTCATTGATAGCTGATGAGGAGTCCCAGGAGTTTGATGACTTAATATTTGCTTTAAAAACTGGTATGTATGAACCCACAAACTACATTAGAAGTAGGCACTCTCAGTATTCTACAATTTATATTTTCTTCACATGAAGTTGCGTAAGTATAGTTACCCTTATTACAGCCGGATTCTCATGACCCATTCCTAATCTCAGCCTAAATCTAGGTTATTTTGTTCTTGATACCAAACATAACACAACCTCAAAATAATTTACAATTTGGTTTTTAAAAAGGGCACACTCTTAACTAAATATAAATATCTCTGTCTTGGAATTGTTCTAGAACACCAAAATACTATTGAGATGAGTTCAGTGTTGTAAGACAGTCTGAAAGGGATTTCACTGAGAGTTTTGCCTCTGATCTGCTGAAGAGACTTTCTTATGGAATATCTTTAAAGCAGAAACTTTCAAAGGCAGCATAGTGGGCCTCATGTAGTTTTACAGTTTTCAAAGTTCCATTGCATACAGTATTCCATTGGCTCTTCCTATAAGTTCAACCCTGCTCTACCTGTGGCCCAATGGAAAGCTGTTTTCAAATCAAATATGTAGTTATTTTTCTATCATATGTTTACTCAGAAAAATGTTGAACAGTGTTTAAAAAATTTCAGTGAAATTTCATTTCTAGATGTACAACGAAGCAAGAAGATATGTCCATCCATGCTCAGGTGAAACTATTGAAATAATAATTCAAAAGTACATTTTACTCTCTCTCTAGATATATATCCATATATTCAGATTAGTGCTTGACACTTGGTAAACCTTTTGTATAGATATTGTTAGAGAATGAATGAGTGAATATGGAACTTGGAATTTTCTTGGAGGAATAAACATTCATACAAACGTGACATAAGGAATAAGTAATATAAGTAGTAGTGGAAATAGTTATTAATTATCGAGGAAATCAAGGAAATTTTTTTAAAACCCTCTTCATTGATTCTTAAAGAATGTATAGGTTTTAAATAGCAAAAGAGTGGAGGAAAAGCATCATTGATGGAGGGAGTAGAATTAGTCAAAGCCCAGGCTCACACGTGCACAGCCTGCTTGGGGAGAACAAGCAATGCAGTGTGGCTGGGGCGGAGGGGGAGTGGAGCCAGGCAGTGGGAAAAAAGGCCTGACAGGTAGTTGGGCTGCATGGTTAAAAATTTACTGTAGTTCCCCCAACTGGGTTTCAGAGTCATCCTCAATGGGAAAATCCTCTGAGTATATTTGGGAAACTGCGAAGATTTACAAGACACACTACCATTTTAACAGCTCTAACAAGCCCTAGCTTAAAGATACCCACTTCCCTCAGTTTAACCTGGTGTTTTCAGAACACATGTAATGACAGATTCACTTGGGGAAGCAGAACACTTCCTGGTATTTTGCATAATATTTAAATGCTGTTCAGATGGCACACTAAGGAGTGGGATTTTTATAGAACCTAGGGAGCCATGGTGGTTTATGAGCAGAGGAAGGTATGTTCCTAGTGGTTTTTGAGGCAAAATAACTCTTATGAAAGTGGGAAAAATAAGTTTAAAAGCAAAGTCAGAAAGGCTGTGTGGTTGTTACAATTGTCCAAAGGAAAGTGGTCCGAGTCTCAGATTTGGGGAGTAGAAATAAAAAAGAGAAGATGAACACAGGAGGAATGCTGAGGAGGCAGAGAGGGCAATCAGCAAAGGCTCATGCTTCTCTTCCAGGTGACTAAACAGTTGTATAAAGAGCATCTGTTCACTTGTGTGCAGGGGAAATCTGGTAAGTTCAGATGTGTACCTATTAGTCATTAGGCCTGGTGGCTCTTAAATAGTCAGATTTAAAGGATCTTGGGTGAGGGTTCAGGGTCCAGGGTATTGATTTGACATGCATCCATTTAGAGATTGTATTTGAAGCAATGGGGATGAATATGGTTGGTCTGGGAGAGTGGAAGGAAAGAGATGAGAAGGAAAAAAAGGTGAGAAAGTAGAACGTGAGGGAGAAAGAGAAAGGAAGAGAAACAAGAAGAACATCCTAGATGATATCTACGTTTAAAAAGTGAATAAAAGTGCCCTGACCAATGTGGCTCGGTTGGTTGGGTGTTGTCCCACAGAGTGAAAGGTCACTGGGTTGATCCCTGGTTAGGGCACACGCAGGGGTTTTGGGATCAGTCCCCAGTTGGGGTGCATACAAGAAACAGCAGATAGATGCTTCTCTCCCTCTCTTTCTTCCTCCCTTCCCCTCTCTCTAAAAAGAAAGAAAGAAAATCTTTTTTAAAAGAAGAATGAATAGAGGAGGGTCCCAGAGTGGGAACCATATAGCATGGTAAGAAAGAGAACTAAAGAGAGGAGAGAATTTCATGAAGAAGGGTGTGCACAAATGCATGAAATGCTCCTTAGCATTAGGACTAAAGCGGGGGGCGGGGGGCGCAGGGGGCTTTCAGATTATAAGTAACTCTCAAGGAAGATTATGTCCCCAGCGCTACACATAAAATGAATTCTTGCAGCATTATTCAATTAGATGTGGGTCCTATATATATAACAAATATTACATGCATTCAGTTCAAGAATGTATGGAATGACTTCCTTACCTATAGATAGAGTTTAGTATTCCTGAGAGTTTATTACACTCGTTAGGAAATAAATACTTCAAAAGACTAATTTAAAAGTCTCCCACATTGGTTTGCTTTATTTTAGGAAAAGATTCTATAAAAATCAAGCACCATCGCCTATACGGTTTCCATCTTAGAATGTGGTGAAAGCAAAAGAATGGGCCACATGCCATTCTATCTACAGCAGAGTTTACAGTTGGCACACAGGCCAGATTTGGCCCAAAAATGTGTTTTGTTTGACTCTCATAGCATTTTAGCATTTTTGAGACAAAAATTTAAACCTTGAGATAGCTCATCAAAATCAAGAATTTTTTAAAAAATCCAGCAACAGAGTGATTGGAGTTGAGTAATAGTCTTTAGATGGAAGGTCAGCTCTTTGGCTTCTCCGGTGGTCACCAGACCTGCATTACTGGTTTTTACTAGCTTTACTGTGACATTTTATTTTGCAAACCTTGATCTGTCTCAGGTTCACCTTCACTATGGGCCACTCCAAGTCAAGTGGGTCTTCTAAGTCTTTTTTCATTTAAACCCCTAATTGACTTCTAAAAGTTATGTAACCCCTTGCATATATTTCAGTGAACATCTAAAGATTTTCATCGTAAGTTTCAATAGTACCAAATAACATAAATGTTAGTGTTTTAAAATTAAAATTTTTCATTATTCCATTAAACTCATTCAAGGAGTTTAAATTCCATAGCAATTTGATACCCATTGTTATTCATTTCATTTTTAAAATATATAAACAACCTTGCCCAGACTGGTGTGGCTCAGTGGGTTGGATGTCGTCTGCAAACAGAAAGTTCACTGGTTCAATTCCCGGTCAGGGTACATGCCTGGATTTGCAGGCCAAGTCCCCAGTTGAGGGCACACAAGAGGCAACCACACATTGATGTTTCTCTCCTTCTTTTTGTCCCTCCCTTCCCTACTCTCTAAAAATAAATAAATAAAATCTTTTTAAAAATATGAACAGCCTTCTTATTTGTAGTTAGAAAATTTACAGCATTCTCTTTTCTCATTGAACTTAGTACACATTTTTCTTCATGACTTACATATACATTATATGTAAAGGTACCATAAAATTCATCACCCAAACCAGAGCAACTTGAGAGAGTAAAGGAGATGTGATTAAAAATTTTTCAGGTATAAACTAGAACATTTTAAGTATTGCATCCTTGAACTCCCTGCTTTGAAGGAATAGTGAAAGAAGTATTTGTGAAAGGGTATGGACATAGATCTTGATGGATGGACAGCAAGACACACAGGCTGGACTTAATGTGGCACATCCAGGACCTGTTGAGATACCTGATCACTTTGAGAAAGTTCTCCAATGGGCAATGGTTGAAATGTCTGTTCTGTAGAGTATAGTGAGGTTAGGGAGTGTCGTAAGCCCATGTACAGGGTTTCAGGCTTGGTGCAGATGACCATAGGAACTAATGTTTGTTCTTGAGAAGGAAAGGTCAGTGGAATGCTGAATAGATCAGAGGTGCAAAATGAGTACTAAAAGTGGAAAAAGCATTTGCAGAAGCTGGGATGCAGAACATAGTTTGTTAACCCATACAACAAACATTTGCTGAATACCCACAGTGTGCTGGGCCCTGTCCTATGAGCTAGGAATATAAGGGTATGAAGGATGTAATCCAATGGGGAAGTCAGAAATTTTGAAAGAGAATCCTGTTTCCATGGGTAGAGGAGCTGATACAGGAAGAGTAGAGGCAGCCAGATTAAGGAGTTGGGGAATGAGAAGAGAATCCCTGGCAGTGCCAACATAAGAGCGTGGTGTATGTAATAAGGGTGTGACCAGCAACTCTAGTGAGACATCAGGCTGGAGAGGAGGCAGGGGTCAGGTGGGTATTGTAGGCCTTGGTGCAGGGCTGGAGATAAGACCTCCAGTGATCACAGAGCAGGGGGAGATGCAAGAGAAAGCAGGCCTCTGGAGATCAGAGGGTGGGGTGGGCAAGAACAGTGTCACAGAAGCAGAAGGAGGAAGTGGGGTTTTGGCAGCAGTCTTTAACAGAGAGAAATGGGAAGGGAAGAGACCCAGAAGAGGGAGGGTTTGACCAGAAGGTCATTAATGGCCTCTTCCTTCCGTCCCAAATAGGGTAAGACAAAGCTAATTCACCATCTTCCCATAGCTACCAAGTCTGCAGAATAGCCTTTCCTGCCTCACAGGTAGGAAAGAAGGCCTCAGCTCCCAACAACTGCCTTTTCACTTTCTTTCTTGTTTGGAGTCTCATGTGCAATAAATTCATATGGCAGCATGCCCTGTGACCGCATCCCCATTCTGTGTGTGTATGTGCGTGTGTGTGTGTATGTGTGTGTGTACATGTGGGGTGTGTGTGTGAAGAGAGACCATGAGAGTTTGCAAATTAGAGAAGAAAAGAATAAGGTGTTACTCTAGCATAGTGTAAAATTTTCTGACTTATTCTGAGCTGCAAAAAAAGTAGTGAATAGTGGAGCTTTCTCAAAACCGACTCTGGGTGCTATCTCTGACTAACAGCTAGCTTTTGGGGATTCTTGTGTGGATCTGTTTTGGCACTGTGTTGCATAATTATTTTTATCTCGGGATCAGATCTGAGTCATTCAGAGCCTAAGTCTCCGGGCACTGATGTGGCACCAGGTGTTGCCGGCGCATGCCTTTCTTCTTGAATCACTGCCCACACTGACTGAGTCTCAGCTGAAGGGACTCGTGGATTCAGTCATGCGGGGTGGAGGTTATATGATTTTGAATGGCAAGTCCACCCCCCTGCTGAAAAATTCTGATAACCTGCCTGAATTTTTTTTTTTTAATTTTAGTAAGCCCACAGTTAAGAAATGCTGTTCTTGGGAGGAAGTTATACTTGTCAACCATTAAGAACCCAAACTTGTATCTTTAGAAATTAATTTTATTTCTAAAAACTACCAAAAGGAATTTAAAGTATAGTTTTATAATTGTATTTATTCTAAATCTAAAGCTCACTTTTTACTAATATACTAGAAATAAACAAACATGTGTTGACTTAATGTAACTTGACACTTGATTCACTGCACTAATAGTTGGGAGATTTTGTATTTATTCCTTTTCGATTGCAGGTGCTGGTCTCAGTGTCAGTGATAATGAATCTGGTCAAGGCAGCCAGGAAGGCGGCACGTTGACGGACTCCCAGATCGTAGAACTCAGGAGGATACCCATCGCCGACACCCATCTCTAGCAGCACAGTAGAACACTAGAATGAGGATACTTTCATATTTGTATTGGCTTTGTGCTAAAACTCTATAAGTACACGAAGCCATGTGATAGAAATCTGTGATCTGTATTGGATTTAACCCAGAAGTGATTGTTGTGTTGGAATATAAGTCGTTTATCTTTGAGCAACCTGAAAACTCGCTGTTAAAGTGAAAGACTGGATCTAGTTATATCAGTTAATAGAATGTACATATTCCAAGAATATTAGTTGTTTTTTTTAATCATCCTATAGGCTAATATTGCTTAATAAAAGTAATAACAATCAATAAAAACAGTTGAATCCTTTTGGCATCTCCTGGGCTCATTATTTAGGAGGAAATGTGCATGAGTAAAGAAACAAACTCCAGGCCTAGATGATGTTACCTACTCTGCTTCTTCCAGCATCGATAAAGGTGGTCCAGACTCAGGGCTTCACAACATCCTGAAGACTTTCATTCCTAAAAACCATAAAATGTATTTTCTGCTGATGAGGGTACTGCAGTTGGCATAGTCTTTCATTGAAAGTATGTATTTTTGCTCATTATAAACTTAGGGAACTGAACATTTTCCAAAATGAATGTTCTGTTCCCAGTTAAAAATAACTCCAGCAAGCATTTTAGCACAGCTATGAAGAGGATCATTTAAACAGTACAGTTTGTTTGGGAGAAATATTTTTTGGTTTGGATTTTGTAGTCTCTCTTTGTCTTGGAATGAGACATCAGAAAGTCTGTCCCAGAACAAACACTATTGTGTTCGTGATGATTTCATTGACTGTGGTTCCAGAAGAATCATTAGGAACAGAACAAGTTTGTCCTAAGGAAGGCTTTTTGACCTTTTATTTTGGAATTGTTAAGTGATTTTGAGAAAATCAGTATCATCCCAAGAAATGAATTAAAATTAAAAAAAAATTTAAGAAAAATGTTGATGTGCTAATTACTCCCCTTAGACCCACACTTTAAAACATCCCAGTGCTCAATTATTGCTGTTAAGCACGGCTTTATTTTTTATAAAACTTGAGGTGGCAATATTTATCTTGATAAACTGTAAAATGACTCCTCTCTTCTTCCTGTTGGTCCATCTGCACTCCTATCTCCTCCCTCTTATACTAATTTTTTTTTAAGTAGTAGATTGTCATTGTTGGTAGAAAATAAAAGATGCATAACAAAATCAAACAGCATAAAAAACAAAACCTGTATCACTCTTTTATAAAGCCTTTCATAAAAAAAAAATTGTATATCTTTTTTAGGAACTCTAGAAATGGTGGTAATAAGGTTGAATTTACCTTAACTGACAAATAAATTAGTTATCTCTTTCAACCTACAGCATTGTGCCGAAGTCTTTTCCATGCTAGGGCAGAAGCAATTGATGAAATTGGTTAAAATATATAAAATTTAGTATGATAATTTTGAAATTGGTAAGCATTCTAAAATTGTTAATAGGTTTTAATGAATTTTGGGCTTTGGTAATGATTACAGAAATGTGAGATTTCATCATGTGGAATCCATGAGTCATAAACATTGTAACATTTTTTTGCAGACAACTAGATGTCTAATTTTCTGACAAAGGCAGTTGTCAATAGCTATTTTCATTTCCACATGTTGTCAGAATTTGGGAAAATCTGGCCCAAAACATAACTGATCAGGGACACTTTTCTTACGTCAAGTTAGTGGAATTCCATTGCTGGTCAAAAGGCCATCTTGATAAGGAATCAAAAGGACCACCTGCCACCATTCAGCATGATTCTTTTAAATATTGGAAGGAAAAAACAAGACTTCTAGTAGCCACGGTGCTAAAACAAATAAGCTTCATATTCCTACAGCAGCAATATTTTGCCAGCCTGTTTCCTCCCAGTGAAGATTAAAATGGGACACTTGCCAGGGAAGTGCAGCTCTGTGGAGGAAGAAGCAAATCAAATTCTTAAAAACGAAAACAGAAAGGCTGGGCCACTGACACCTCAGCTGTGGTCGTTCCCTTTCGGGAGGTTTGATCCTCTTTTCCTCCATCACATTTTTTAAACAGCTTTATTAAGATATAATTCACGTTTCCTACACCTCACTCATTTAAAGTGTGCAATTCAAAGATATTTTGTATATTACATTATTGGGTTTTTTTAATTGTAGTAAAACATGTAACAAAATTTGTCATTTTAACCATTTTCAGTGGAATTTTTATATTCAATGGCATTAATTACTTTCATAATGTTATGCAACCATCCCTTTTACATCCAAAACTTTTTCATCACCCCAAACAGAAACTCCATCCCCCGTCTCTGATATTTTCTTTCCTCTGTCAGTAGGCAACTGATACTGCTTTGGGCAATGTCTCTGCTTGTGTATTTTTGTGATTCATTTAATTTAATTTGTTTTTTTGTTTTCTTTTATACTTCTTTCAACTTTTCTTTTTAGAGTGTTAAAAATAAGAATTTTCCTAATTTGGATGCAAGTGCAGCAGGTATGCAATTGAAGGATGGGGTAGCAGTAGAGCTGGTGAAATTCCTATTAAATGGGAGACGAGGCAAATGAAAATCTTACCACAGACAGAATTCCACTCAGGAACTTCAGCTTTTACTTGGTTTTCAATCTCTTGAGGTGGATTAGGGCTTATTCCTTTAAATTATATTTTATTGATCACCATTGTTCCAATTTTTCCCCCTTCGCCCTCCTCCACCCAGCACCCCCCACTCCCTTGTGCGATGCGCACCCCATTGTCCATGTCCATCGATCATGCATATAAGTTCTTTGGCTACACTATTTCCTATGCTGTACTTTTACATCCCCATGACTATACTGTAGCTACCAATTTGTACTTCTTAACCCTTCACCATTTTTGCCAAACCCCTTCATGCCCCCCCTCCTGGCAACCATAAAAATGTTCTAATATCTATGATTCTTTTTCTGTTTTCTCTTTTGTTTTTTAGATTCAACTGTTGAAAGGTAAGTATTAGTTGCCATTTTTTTGTACATATTTTTTATCTTCTTCAAGAAGACATTTCATATGATGCTGGTTTGGTGGTGATGAACGCCTTTAGTTTTTTCTTGTCTGGGACGCTCTTTTTCTGTCCTTTTATTCTAAATGATAGCTTTTCTGGGTAGAGTAATCTTGGCTGTAGGTCCCTGCTTTTCATCACTTTAAATATTTTTTGCCAGTCCCTTCTAGCCTGCAAAGTTTCTTTTGAGAAATCAGCTGATAGTCTTATGGGGGCTCCCTTGTAGGTAACTAATGCCTTCTCTCTTTCTACTTTTAAGATTCTCTCTTTGTCTTTAACCTTTGACATTTTAATTATGATGTGTCTTGGGGTGGGCCTCTTTCATTTCATCTTGGTTGGGATTCTCTGTGCTTCCTGGGCTTGTATGTCTATTTTCTTCACCAAGTTAGGAAAGTTTTCTTTCATTGGTTTTTCAATTAGATTTCCAATTTATTGCTCTTTCTCTTCTCCTTGCAGCACCCACATGATGCGAATATCGGTATGCTTGAAGTAGTCCCAGAGGCTTCTTTCACTATCTTCATTTTTTTGGATTATTTTTTCTCCTTGCCATTCTGATTGGTTGTATTTTGCTTCCTTATATTCCAAATTGCTGATTTGATTCTCAGCTTTATCCACTGCACTGTTGATTCCCTATAAATTGTTCTTCATATCAGTTAGTGTATCCTTCATTCCTAACTGGAATTCTTTTCTTTTTTATGGTTTCCACGTACTTTTTTATGCTATTTAAGTTCTGAGTTTATCTGCTCTTCCTCTAAGTTTATTGAGCATCCTTGTAACCAGTGTTTTGAACTCTGCATCTAGCTGCTTGCTTGCCTCTGTTTTGTTTAGTTCTTTTTCTGAAGTTTTGATCTGTTCTTTCATTTGGACCATATTTCTTTGTCTCCTATTTTGGCAGTCAACATGTGTTTGTTTCTATGTATTAGGTAGAACTACTATGTCTCCCAAGCTTGGTAGTGTGTCCTAATGTAGTAGGTGCCCTGTAGGGCCCAGTGGCACAGCCCCCGCTATTACCCAAACTGGGTCCTTGAGTTGTGCCTACTGTGTGGGCTGTGTACATCCTCCTATTGTAGTTGAGCTTTGATTGCTCTTGACACATCCAAGGTCAGCTACTGCCTCTGTTCTGTCCAGGGTCACACAGCATAAGCTGCAAAGCAATCTGCAGATGGCTGCTACTTGTGCTAGGCTTGGAGGTGACAGGAGGGGCCACACTGTGAACCAAGGCCAATTGCTGCTAGTGCTGGGCCTGGGGGAACCTTAGCGAGAGATATGGGGCTTGTTGAAGCCAGATGCTGCCTGTTTGGGAAAACTTAGGAAAATGTGAAGCATGAGCCAAGACAAGCCATTCACATGGAAAAATCACTGGAAACAGCTTTAGTTGGCCCGCAATTGGGTGTGGCGAGGCCTCAGAGAATCACCAGGGTGGAACAAACAGTGTAAATTAGGTTGGTGAAGTCTCTGATGTGGAGCCCACCTGCCAATTCTGTGACTCTGTAGGGGGAGGGCTCAGAAGAGGAACAGTGCTCTCTACCAGCACTTCTGTCTGGGAGAAAGCTGTCCCCAGCTGTTACCTTGATGCTGGGCAATTCAATTTCTGCCTGTATGTCTCTGCTGCCTTTCAATCTGCTCCCTCTGCACAGGAGCTCAGAGCAAGAGAGTCAGAATAAGTCTGTGTGGAGGTCCTTTAAGAGGAACTTCCAGGGATTCCAGCAGTCTTCCAAAACCTCAATCCCTGCTGGTTTTTACATCTAGAAGTTATAGAGACTTATCTTCCTGGCACTGGAGTCCAGGGCTGGGGGCCTGTTGTGGAGCTGGGACCCTTAACTCCTCAGATACCCCTGCTGATTTTTATCCACCACATGTGGCAGTGGAACCAGTCCATTCTGCATTTCTGTCCCTCCTACCAGTCAGTGTATAATTTGTTCTTTAATTCCATAATTGTTGGACTTCCATTTAGCTCGATTCCTGATGGTTTAAATGACACTTGTTTTATAGTTTAGTAGTAATTTTGATGGGGTTGTGTCAGGAGGCAAGCTGTGTTTAGCTACGTCACTGTCTTGACTGGAAGTAGTGTTTTAGGATTTAATCAATATTTTTCCTGTCTCCCAAATATGACCAGAGAAGTTTAAACATGTAATGGAGGTAACACTGGAAACAGAAAGTGCTATTCAGGAACACAGCTTTCAAACAATCTCACTCTCCCCACCCCCGGCCC